CAAGTTCTAGCACCGTGGACACAGGCCTTAACGATTACGACTTTACGACTTCTATGTAGACGAGGCTTTATACTTTGAATGAACCGTTCGGTTCGATCGTCGAAACATGCGACACTCGCACGGTTTATTCGTCTGAATTAATTTAAGCCCGCTGCAGACGATGCTATTTTTCCTGCTGGATTGCTTGCAATCTAATAAATTACTATCGTTGCACCACTCAGCACTCAGGATTCCTAGTAATTTACTAAATCGCTAGCAATCCAGCAGGAAAAATAGCATCGTCTGCAGCGGGCTTTAGTAAAAGCTTTCGATGTCAAATTGATCAAAACGCGCGAGAGTCGCTACCGAGCTCTTCTCTCCCCTCGTAGTATACGAGTCTTTCGACTTTTCCACTGTTCAGCGGGGAGCACACACTTTGGGCCATCGCACACAAAATTGCACAGCTGCATATGCATAGCATGAAAACCGTTTAAACCAATGAACATCGAGCATTGAGTCGCCATGTTGATTTACATAACATACTTATTGGTCTGGACGGTCTTGTGCTATGCATATGCAGCTATGCAATTTTGCGTGCAATGGGCCCTTTTGCATAAGTGGCATAAGCACGTGCATAACGAATTTGATTGGTCTATAAATAAATGTATAAGGAAGTGGACCAATCAAATTCGTCATGCATATGCCTATGCACCTGTGCAAAAGTGTGCGCTCCCCGCTTTCCTCCCGCTCCCTTTTCCCCGCGTTCCCCGTGCGCAAACTTGTCGGCGATATAAACAGTATAACCTCCGGCGTATTCCGAGATGATCCCCAAAAGTCAGTAGAGATGTTAACACAGCAGCACCCGTCGGCTGCAGTTTTCCATCCTGCGACGTAGAGTCCCCCGCGCAGGTGACATCGGCTGTCGGCGACAAATAGTTCCTCCTGCAGCTATGGAGCTCGTGCGGAGTCTCGTTGGCCGCAACCTGAAACGATCGCTCCTGCGGACGCCCGTGACGGGCCTGCAGCACGTGCGATGCGTCAGGTACATGCGAATCAATCGAAATTTGTAGATTGCAGGCCCCTCGAGCAATTCCACGCCGAGTATTGCAATGACGCCGAATATTGCGAATCAGTTTTCCCTGTTTATATACAGGATTACAGTCTCGGCAGGAGAGAATGGGGGAATTGCTGCAATCTGCCACTGCAGATAATTTAAGGAGTTGTTGAAACTTGAGGTATCTGTATTTATAGTAAACGTATTAACCCTTTGCACTCCGAATTACATTTCATCTATTTTCATCTGTTGGTTTGGACTTGAAAAAATGTCGAGTGAGACTCGACAAAGAAGCTCCTGAGATAAAAACTAATGTCGAGTCACACTCGACATAGGAGCGCAAAGGGTTAAGCTTTAAGGAGCTTTCAGGCCGAACAAGGAATTTCTGTGAATGGATGTAACGAATGGAGTAACGCGGCAAACGAGAGCAAATTGCGTCGATAAATTTCTTGTAGGTGTATTTTAGAAAAAAAGTACTCTGTGCGATTCAACCTTGCTGTCTGGTTTGGATTTAATTTGGTTTCAGGTCTACCTTTGTGAATTATATAACGTGGTATAATTCATAATGCTATAAATTAAATATGTATATTAGAGTATTTGTGGACAGCACTGAATCACGTGACAGTATTTGCGATGAATGTATTTGCAGATTGGCAGAAGTCGGCAAACTGGAGGCACCAAAGTTGCAGGGGAAATACGAGACGGGTCAATTGATCCTGCACAGAGTCTTCGGTTACCGAGGCGTGATTTTGTTTCCCTGGCTGGCGAGAGTGTACGACAGAGATATATCTAGTAAGAAGAATGAGTATGTATAGTCACTTATAATTATATAGATAAATATATCTTGTTTCATAAGTACACAGACTATCTGTACATTTACAGGAAGGATAACAGCATTGGTGAGAAAGAGGTGAAAGGCCGGACGCACACGTTTTATCAAGTTTTGATCGATCAACGCGACTGTCCTTACATCGTAAGCGTCATCCTAGAAGCTATGCTGTAGCGATCTGCGCGTCGTAGAAATCGTTAACGCGCGGTGATTAACGTTAGTCGTGTGTACTGCTTGCAGCGCGCTCAAACGGAGGCGGTTACTTTCCTGGGCAATCATGAGAGCAGTCGCAGCTTGTACGCTATTCCAGGATTGGACTATGTCGCTCACGAGGACGTGTTGCCGTATACCACCAACGAGAAAGCGGCGCTGCAGCACGAATTGTTCGACAAGTTTCTCACCTATCATTCGGACAAGGAGCCGTGCTTCGTGGCGCAGGAGACTCTTCGCACATGGCAGAAGAAGAATCATCCGTGGCTCGAGTTGTCGGACGTGCACAAGGAAACGACCGAGAACATCCGCATTACCGTTATACCGTTCTATATGGGTTGCAGAGAGGGCCAAACCACTTCTGTGTACTGGGTGAGTCAGTAATGAAGTCAGATGTTTGAATTAAACGTCAACGCTTCGTTATATCTCCCGTTTTACAGTGGCGTTATTGCATCCGACTAGAAAACATGGGTGAGTTGAGCGTGCAATTGCGTGAGAGGCACTGGAGAATATTCAGTCTTTCGGGTACGTTGGAAACTGTTAGAGGAAGAGGCGTGGTCGGTCAGGAACCTGTGCTGTCGAAAGCTTTGCCTGCCTTTCAATATAGTAGTCACGTGAGCTTGCAAGCTCCTAGTGGTCACATGTGGTAAGCACGAGTTTAATTTCTACTTGACGATTACTCTCGAACCGATTTCTAAACTCTTCAATGAGAAAAGGTGTTATTCGTTGTAATCGTTTCCCCCGACGACTCTGTTTTTAGGGGAACATTTAGGATGGAAAGGGAAGACGGATACGCGTTCGATTGTAGAATACCACCGTTCTCCTTAGAATCGAAAGCGGAGCCATCCACCCCGACCGTAGAAATCTAACTCATCAAAAGAGAGATTGATAATTATAAGCAATAATTAGTTAGATAAATATGTAACAATTACTAGGTGACGATGATATATAGTTTCAAGTACAATCGATGTCGATTTAAGCGTGAGTCTTGTGATAACTTTTTGAAACTAATTTCGCACAGACGGTTTCAATAAAAATTATAATGTATATATTTTCTCTCGAAAACCTTGCAATTCCCCATGTAAAAGGATATCTAATTTTCTAACATGGCCTAATTTTAATCAAATTTAATAATGTATGTAAATGCAAAAAAACATGAAATATAATGATACATACAAAACAAATGAAAATTTAAAATAATTATTATTAGTAAATACGACAAATAAATGGACCGAATATTTTAGAGAACATGGTTTACAATTTGTTTAAGATATGATGTATGCACAGTACTTGTGTTTATAAATTAGGACTGTTTTTCTCATTTAATTTCATGGCCATTTTAGAAACTAAACTTTGATAAAAATTTCTCCACGTCTAAGACTTGAATGTTCCTCTGGTAAAAATCCTGATTGTAATTCAATCTGTTCTGTAATAACTTTTGTAGTTGTGTTTCTACGTATATGGAACCAGTGTTTAGAAATGCGAGTTTTTAATTGTTTCTTTGTTTGACATTTGTCGCACATCTACACATCATATGTATATGATAATCTATTCTGTACACGGTTACCGATAACTATTTATATCCCCTGGCGAAAATTTTAAGAGGTAATGCCACTCTAGCGTTCGGAAAAATGGCCTAATCCTGAAAATTTTTTATGGGAATAAAAAATTGTTATTGTACATACTTTGAAATGTATTTACAAATTGTTTTCAATTTTTTTTAAATAAAATAGCGACGTCAGAGCTCAGCAAAGGAAGCCCGTTACTTTCCGCGGCCGGAAAGATTTCTCCTCCAATTTTTAACCTGGAACAAAAACCAAAAATTTTTGTGTTTTATATAAGATTAGTTAGATAAGCACGCACGGAAATTAAAAAATACAGCTTTGTGTGCAAATGGTGCACGTTTGAAAATCATCTGTCAACGAAAATTTGCACTTTTCACGGGTTCACGTTTGAGGAAAAGATTCACGATTAGGTCCCTGGATAGCGATTATGTAATTTTCCACGTGACAAATTTCACGCGAACTCAATAATTTCAATCAACAAAATTATTATATTCGCGCGAAACACTTCAGTGTTTTCATGTTTCCACTTTAGGAGAAAAGCTACGTGATCGCTTCCTTGAACTCGATCGAACTTGCGCGCCGCAACGCGCGCGGTCTATCTATCCTTTTTTTTTTTCCCCCGCGCGTCACCCGAGAAAAGAGAGAAGGTGCAGAAGAGCTCAGCAGAAAAGAACAGACTCTTCCGGCGGGGCGTCTGTTCTCTCTACCTGAATTTCTTGCGCGGGTACACAGCTTATCTCTCTCCTGCCACGTTGGGAGGAAAAAGATAAACTCTGAACTGGTGCAGTCGGTTCAGCGATAAAAGAAACAAACCTTCTGCCAGTTCTGCCCCTGTCCGAACGCAGTTCATGAGCTTGGAGCGCAGCGCAATCGCGGATTCGTTGCCTCGTCGGTGGTGGTCGGAGACGCCAGAATGAGGACGCGGCTCCGAGCGCGCTGCGCGCGGCCCGAACGCAGTTAGGAGCGTAGCGCGATCGCGGATCCCTCGGCTGTGTTCTTGGCGTCGTCTGGATTCGCTCGTTGTGCAAGTTACGATGGTCTCTTGTAAGTTGCCCGCGTTATGCCGCGCCACGTAAATCGAGGGATGCACCTCGGCCGCGACGCGAGAATCGCTCGGCGCGTAAACGCCCCTGGTTTCCTGGCCGCGGATTAGGCCGCGGGAATCGATACGCGAGGACGTAACTGACCAGCCTTAACCTTTCCGAATATGCCCGACTTTTTTTTTGCCTCCGTGCAAGCCACACCCTCGGGTGCTATTAATAATTTCGAAATCGGCATCTCTTTTCCCCTCCCCCTCCCCCTCCCGCTCCTTATCGTTATCTGATTGCGCGAGCGTTCGCGATATCTTCGTCCCGAGCGCAAATGTTTACCCGACGGCAACGATAATGGAGCGGTGCTTTTTTTCTCTCCCGCGGTCGACGACGCGATCGAGATCGAGACGGACAAGGATTGCAAACCGAACGCGTGGGAATTTAACCGAACCGTTTTAATCTCCCCCTCTGTCGAGCAGGTCCGCTAACTCCCGAGGTCCTCGATCAGCTGCGCGCCAAGTTTTATGCCGACGACCGCAATGTGCTGGCGCAGAATGTCTGTACGAAGACGAACCCCATCGAGGCGTGCGCCTCGAGGAAGATCCTGGAGGAGACCCACCACGTCTTCACCCATAAGATCGAGACCGAGGGCAAGCCCATGACCAACCAGAAGAACTCGGGCAGGTGCTGGCTGTTCGCCATCCTGAACGTCATGAGAACCAGCTTCATGAAGCAACACAATCTAGACGAGTTCGAGTTCAGCCAAGCTTACCTGTTCTTCTGGGACAAGGTCCGTGCACGGTCACCCTCGGGAACAATGGCCGCGTTCAGCAGACACAACTGTTGAGTGAGCGCTCAATGATTTCTTAACAGGATTGGCTGGTTCTAAAAGTATTAACCAATCATACTGAGCGCTCACTCAACAGCTGTGTCTGCTGAACGCGGCCAATGACTGCATTTACACATCACCTCCGAGGGGGCTTTAATCGAGTTCAATAACATCTGTAGTTAAAGGGTTGGCCAGTCACAGTCATTCCATTCTTCTGAGGAGTAGTCGTGATTGGCCAGTTTTAGGCCCGGTTTCACCAACGTCACCTAACTTTAAACTTGGCTCAATTCGTTCTTTGTCTCTTACCAACTGTTACTTTAGAGAGAGGCAACGAACGAATTAAGCTAAGCTTAAAGCTGAACAACATTGGTGAAACCGGGCCTTATAACTACGGATGTTATTAAACCCGATTAAGGGTGACGTGTAAACGTAGTCTATGACTGGCCAGCTCTTTAACTATGGATGCTATTAAATCCGATTAATTACACCGTGTTATTACGCTCAGCTGTATTCCTCTTGCAGATAGAACGTTGCAATTACTTCTTGCACAACATTGTGAACACCGCGAAGCGCGGCGAGGCGGTCGAGGGCCGTCTGGTCAACTTCCTGTTGACCGACCCGACCTGTGACGGCGGTCAGTGGGACATGATCGTGAACCTGATCACCAGACACGGCGTCGTGCCGAAAACGAGTTTCCCGGAGTCGTACAGCTGCGAGTCCAGCGTTCGCATGAACAGCCTGCTGAAGAGCAAGCTGAGGGAGTACGCCAAGGTCCTGCGGGAAATGATCAGCAACGGCGCGTCCGACGATGAGCTGAAGACGCGAATAAGCGAGCAGATGACGGTGATCTACCGGATTATCGGTATCTGCCTGGGTGTACCTTCCGAGAAGATTACATGGGAGTACTACGACAAGTCGAAGAATTACAATTGCGTGGGCCCGATCACGCCGCTCGAGTTTTACGAGAACTGCGTCAAGCCTTATTACAATGTGAGCGATAAAGTATGCCTGGTAACCGATCCACGACCGGGCAACCCTTACGGGAAACTGTACACCGTGGATTGCCTGGGGAACGTTGTGAGTGGAAAGACTACGCGCTACAACAATCAGCCGGTGGAGCTGCTGATGAAACTGTGCGCCGAGAGTATTAAGGATAACGAGCCCGTTTGGTTCGGTTGCGACGTTAACAAGAGATTAATAGACAAGCACGGTATCCACGATATAAAGGCTTACAACTTCGAGCTGATGTTCGGCACCGACATTCACGTCGGGCTCTCCAAGGCCGACAGATTGCTCTACGGGGATTCCATGATGGTACACGCGATGGCATTTACAGCCGTTTCAATCGACGTGAGTGTTTTCAAGGGTCAGGCTGGTATTTGTTGTACGACAAATTTTTCAAGTTGATTGGCTCCAGGATAATAAAGCTCTCGAGTATCTAGAAATTTTTTATCAACCGCAGCCAATCAACGCGCTTAAAAAGTATGTCGTACGACAAATGTAACACCAGCCTTTATCCTTCGTCGAATGCATAAGATAATTGGATCGATGTTCATTAACGTTACGTCTAACATTTGATTACTATTCCGTTCCAGCGAGAGGGTAAGATAAAGAAGTTCCGGATAGAGAATTCATGGGGCGAGGATCACGGGCAGAAGGGCTACCAGGTCGTGACAACCGAGTGGTTCGCTGATTTCGTCTTCGAGGCGGTCGTAGATAAGAAATACGTGCCCGCGGACGTAATGGCTGTATTCAATCAGGACCCCACCGTCCTACCTGCCTGGGACCCCATGGGCACGCTCGCTCATTGATGTTAAAGTGATTTAACTAAATGCAATGGCAAGCCGTTTTATTTTACAGGCGAAGGATTTCGAGCGTGACACGAGAAACCAAGTATTTAATAAAAATTCCGGGAGCAGCGATTGTACAAAGTATACCAATATTTTATACCTTATACAAGAGAACGCAGCAGTATTGATAAGTGGCTTTGTTCATTCATATGGATTAGTCCGTTTCGTTTATTACAGTATACGAGGGCAACGTTTAATCATCAAGACTGAATGTATGAGTTACCATATTTGAAATCACGAAATAAGTATCGTCGTGTGTAAAAGAAAATACTCGCAGTTTCCGCTCGTGCAACGTGTCGGTGAAAACGATGAGTGCGTCGCATACCTTATCTCAGTAGGCAATAAACGTATCGGTCTTGAACATAATCTACTATTGCGATAGTGGTTGCCAGAAGTTGTTTTTCCAATACGTTCTTCTCAATGCGTGCGACAAGCTATATCTCATACAAACAAAAATGAATAGATTGTGCAAACAAATTCCCGTCGTATCACACACCTGCGACTCGAGGAACTTTCGTATGATCATTTGCGTTGCAGCAATGTACGATACAGCGTGTGTAGAGGCGCTCGTATTTCTCTGCGTGTTAACTTTTAAATTTGTGCACACTACAAAACGAAGCAATAGAAGAGATGGTATATACATATAGATAGACATGTAAAATTTAATAAAGACTTGCCGATATGATTAAAAATTTTTGCTCAATGAGCCGTCTTGACTTTCTTTTTTTTTTTGGCGTGCTGCTTCGCGTTCAATACGCAAGTACGTAAACTTCGAACTCGCAGTTTAATCGAAAGGATATAGCGATTTAACGGACGCCAACGTTTGTATGCAAGATATAGTACATGTATTATTAACACATTTACAGAGACGTAGAAGGTAGACGTAGATTTCTTAAACCTCCGAGGGTACGTGCAAGGTCTTCAACAGCAGGGACCTCTTTTGCCGTTGGTACTGCCCGTAATTGTACCGCAATTTGGCCCACACGCCCTGACACATGTTTTGGAGACGGACGTCATTTTCTTTAATTGCAAATTTGTAGATCTTTCGTATCATGTGCATCGGGGTGGTAAAGTGGCCACGTTGAATGAGACTTAAAGCAGCGTACAGCTTGCAACGAGCAACCAGGAGAGGATTGTTGAGGCGCAGCGCCAGCTCAAACTGCTTCACCGAGATTTTGCCCGCCATTGTGGCCTGCAAAATACATGAAATCAATACAAAGTTCCAACGTGGCGGGAGTGCCGAGCCGCGAACGCTTACGCAGTGCTCAAATTCCTCTCCCAGTGCGGAAAACGCTCCTCCGAGCGTGGACAGCCAAGACATGGCGTGATCAGCTTCCTGCCTCTCCGCAATCATTTGCATTAGCTTGTCGTTCCTGAAACAGGACAAGCGTGAGAGGTCGTGAAGAGTGGTTTAAATCCATACCGCAAAATCACCTGTGAAACTTGCCATTTGTAATCGAGAAACTGCTTCCTCGGTACCTTTAATCTTAAACGTATTATCAACGAGTGTTCTATGTCAAACGGCCTGTCGCAGGTTGTCCGAAGTGGTCTGAACAACCTCATGACGTTCGCGCGGTAGAAATTCGACCTCGACAACGTCGCAATGTAGGCAGAGACGAAATAGGCATTGATCCCGCCCTTGCACAGGCAAAGTGACTTTGTGAAATTACATATACAAACGGCATCGTTGTATCTGAGCGTCGTGTACCGTTTGATTCGTTTCTCGTACCTAACTACACGGTGCAACCTGGCGGTGACATCGTCGTAAACCATCTGGTCTCTATATACAACAAAACGCACGCGTTCCATCTCCTTATTTTAATTTACAAAATGCTATATCCTGCGGTATTATCGCACCGGGCACGCTCATGACACCCGTCGGTCCACCGGTGGCGGATGAGTTTCAGCGTTCCAGAGCTTTACGGCTAATTCAGACTAATTGGAGATTCCTAGGTCCGAGGATCGTGCGAAATCGAGCCTCGCAGGTAAACTCGAGCGTCTCGCACGTCTAAACTCCATTGGCAATCACTTGTATCGATCCCCAATGCGTCCATGTTACACATTCATGCTCGCAGACGAGCGGTCATTCACGAATTTTCACGATGGCCGTGGGCCACAGACACGGGTTACGGTCAAGGGCCAGGGGCTTGATTCTTGAACTCATTCGAAAGAGAAAGTTGCAAGTTGATTGGCTATTCGCGTGGCTTCCAACCAATCGGCTTTCAACGTTTCTGTGAAGCCCGTATTAAGCCCGCTGCAGACGATGCTATTTTTCCTGCAGGGCCTAAATTCCGTACACGATTACCGACGACCATCGATACGTTAACGACGTTTGCGCAGCTTTTCTATCATGTAGAAAAAGCTGCGCAAACGTCGTTAACGTATCGATGGTCGTCGGTAATCGTGTACGGAATTTAGGCCCTGGATTGCTTGCAATTTAGTAAATTACTAGGAATCCTGAATGCTGAGTGGTGCAATGATAGTAATTTACTAAATCGCAAGCAATCCAGCAGGAAAAATAGCATCGTCTGCAGCGGGCTTTAGACTACGGATTGAGATATAGGCCGGTATTCAAGGCTTTAAGCCCGTATCAGACTACGGATTGGGATTGGAATTAGATTGAAATTTAACCAATCACAGTAAAGTTTACTAATCTCAAGTTCAGTAACTTTTACTCTGATTGGTCAAATTTCAATCTAATCCCAATCCCAATCCATAGTCTGATACGGGCTTTACAGGGGGTGCTTTCGCGACTTACGTCAAAATGATCCGGATCAAAATGATCCGTTCTACGATTGGTCAAATTTGAAATTTCGTAGCGTCACATTGAAATTTTATTCAATGAAATTCCAGATTCGACCAATCGTAGCACGGATCATTTTGACCTACGTCGCGAAAGCACCCCAGGTTTCTCTCTGTATGTATCTTAACATCATGCGCATTATGCGCGTAGTCCCGTCTGGACCGTTGAGCGGTTCACACGTCTTCCGACGGAAGATAAAATTTTTGATCCTGCGGGATTGCATCATCCAATAGGGATTGCATCATCCCGCGCGAGGCTCGGTAGTTGAGCCTCTGCATTGTGTGACACGTTATTTGTCGTACGACAAATGTAATAGTACCCTTAGGAGATTTATATCATCAACTGTAATCTCCACACTATTGCCTATTGGATAGTCATGGCCGTATCGGTTCGCTTAGTGCGACCAAGTGCCAAATAACCGGAGGAAGAAGAAGAAGCGCATTATGCGTGAAACCGAACACACCTCATATATTATACGCGTCTTCATGCAATACGAACAGACCTATGATTACACGAGATAGGCTCGCTGCATGATCTTGTCATTGCAAGATCGATGCTTGAAAGCTCGCAGCCTGATTGGCCGCTACTTTCACATTTGAAAGTTGCAACCGTTACGAATCTAGTGAACGTTCAGTTGTTGGACGCGGAGAAAGCGTCGGTCGGGCGCGAGAATCCACTCCGCGTTTCCGTCGATTTCGGCTCGCTGAGAGGGCGAGCCCCGTGTCCGGAGTGTCGTGAGTGAGTGGCGTGTTCGCAAGCTTGTTTGTGGCGCTCAAGCAGCCGCCGGGAGACGCGTGCCGGGAAATCTCGGTCGTCGTGAGTGAGCCATAGTCGCGAATCGGCCGCTCCGCGGCTACTCGGAAGTTCGGTTGTCGCGTCTCGCGTGCCTCAAACCGCCGAAAAAGTCGAGAGTGCACCGCGAACGGGAGTGTCGAGTGTCGCGAGCGTGTCTCGAGAGTGAATTTCATCCGTCGCGAGTGTTAAGTCGCCGATGCGGCTTGCAGAGTAAAATTGGTGATACTGTGTGTGATATCGTATACAATGCGATATATATGTGATAGTGCATATTCTATTGTGAAGTGTTAAGTGAGTTGTGACCAATTGGGATTACTTCGCGGGAGCAACTCAACAACCGATCCAACGAGGGACCACATGACGGAGTCACATGACGCCGGCGACGCCATAACCGTTACGCCCGGTCTACAATGAGTTGTTAGTCGTTAGTCGTTAGTCAGAAGTCGGAACTATATGTCGGTCTTTTTTCTTCCACCCAGAAAGGAAAAGGATCAACATATAGTTGCGACTTCTGACTAACGACTAACGACTCATTGTAGAACGGGCCTTATCGATCGGTCATCGTGGGATCCGCCGTCGCAAAGTAAGTGCACCTTGTTGCAATACCGACGACGCGACAGTTATCTATTGCGGGTGGTTGCTCATAACCCCCTCGAGCGGCAATAGATGGCGTGCGGCAATAGATTTCGTGCCGGGGCATAGGATATCGCGTTTAAACGAAATAGGATAGGGCATAGGGTATCGCGTTTAAATGAAATAATTAATTTTCGGGACTTGCGATCATTTTGCGCCAACCTTATTGTTAGAGGTGATGCATCTCGTCGTCGAGAATGACTTTCGCGTTTCGGGTGACACGAGACTGCTAGATTTCGTACCCGGGCATAGGACATCGTGTCAGAACGGGAAAATTTTT